TTACCATGGTTTATAGATCATTAGGGAAACGTAATTGATCCAAATAATATCATCTGCTTAATAGTGTTTGTGAACAGTTATCAACATTATTATATAAAATTGCTGTATTTATAGATGACGAGATTGTTAAAATATATGACAATGCTACACGCAAGAATCCCAATAGTGAAGAACTTAGCAATCATTGGTTCATGGCGATGGTTAGGAATAGTGATTTCAAGGGACAACAGCAAGTATGTGAAATTCGTGTTATAAAATTGATTTTATTCATATTATTTATACAAACTTTATGATAATATAGGTTGCTTTAAAGCTACATAAGAATTTCAAATCAAACAAATATTTATTCTGGGCAATCATGAGCTTGGTTTTACAGGTAAATAAAACAAGGTCTATTTTTTAACTAATTATTCACGTATTTCAATTAATTTTTTTTTTTTTAGGCAGAGAATGCGCCTGCTAACCAATCAGGAATTTTTTTAGAGCTGGCCGAACGCATGATGGACAAGGCTGTGAAAGAAGGGAAATTAGAGCAAACTGAAGGTTTTACGAAATATCATTATTAAATTTAGATGATTTGATGTGAAGTCATTAATATTTCTTTTTTTTTTAAATAGAGATTCTTCTTTATTTAATTGTATTGCTAGCCCAAAATAAATTTAAAGCAGCTTTATATGTCTTGGAAGGTGATTTGGGTAAGAAATGCAAAGAAGATGTCGAAATTAATCGTATTCGGAATGATTTGTTCCTTAAAACGAATAATTGGATCAAAGCAATTGAAATGAGCAAAAAATCGTTGACAGAATCGAAGTTGGTAGATTGATTTTTAGGAAAATGAGATCAATATTTAGGAATTTCAAATCATCTGACATGACATTTAATTCCAAAATTAGTCCGGATGATTGGAACAGCTATGTTACATACTTAGAATCTTATTTACACCTACTTTCTGAGTCTGATAAGAATGAGAATGGAAGCAGGTATATTTATTTGATCGATTAATTGACTGTTACTACTTATATAAGTGTTTAACTATGACCAATTTTACTATATTTGTTGTTTAAAACAGCCCAGCTTCTGTTAATTTGGGCGAAGCTCGCGAGTTTTTGTATTCATTACAAAAAAGTGTGATAGAGAGTTCTGATATTAAACGGGGTCCTTTCCTTGCTGAGCTTAAATTGGAGAAGAGCATCGTCGAAAAATTAAAAGATTGTATGTCGGTAATAGTATTATATTTTGTAAATCAATTTAGTGTTTGTGATAAATATAAATATGTAATATAGGTAAACCGGCAAAAGAAATCGATACTCTTATTGTCGATTATTTTCTCAGGTTTGGATCCAAAGCTTGTTGCTTTGAAGATTTGCAACCTTATTTGAAGGAAATTCATATAGATTCTGCTAAAATAATAATTGAGAAATTTAAAGCTACAATTGATGAGTCTGGTGATGACGATAAGGTTCTTGGCATTTTTTTTTAGATTCAATAATACTTTGAATGTGGCATTGCATGTATACTTATTAATATTTAATCTTGCCATAGTCCAAGATTCAAACCATCAAAAAGAATGTAAATATTCATAAGTTTGAGAGATATCTAAATTTACTTGTAGAATATAACGAGGTCGAATCAACACAATATGTTAATAAACTATGGCATTCATATAAAGGCTCGCTTCAATATGGTACTATTATGTTTATTTTTCACATTTTAATAATTAAAGCTTTAAGAATTATATGTAATCAATTGAATTCTCGCAGGAACCAAGTTACTAGAAGCAGAAAATCAACACGGCGATGACTTTATGTTATTATGTTCACATGTTTTAATTGATTTATATAAAAAATTTGGTGAGCATTAGCAATACACGTTACATGTAACCTGTGAACGGTATTTAAAACGCGCATTCTCTTGCAATTAAAGGCAAGAGCAGTTATATCTTCCAAGCAATTTTCCTCTTAGAAGCTGCTATGAAAAAAAGCAATTATAACTTCCAGTTTAAATTACTTTTGATAAGATTGTATCAGACGATTGGTGAGTTAGTTTTTTCAATTAGCTTGATTAGCAAGTTAAATTGCTCATAATTTCCATTAAATTCTCTCATCAGGCATCTTCGACAGGCCATTAGAGCTA